TTACTTCACTACTTAGGAACCTTGAATGCTAGAGCTTTCAATGTCGCTTGGCTGCTACGAAGATAATCATTTTGTATGAAAAGGTCTTAATTTACTATATTGGATCAAGAAGGGAAGACATAGCAGTCATCAGGACTGATTACCTGAACTGCAGGCCTCCCGAACATCCACCAGCGCCGAATTCTTTTTCTATGTTCGCGACATCTGTGTAGCTCAGCGTGATAACCTTCATTTGAATTAACATAATGAAGTGATGTAATCTCAGCTGGCATCTGAGCTTGCTCGACTTCAATTTGCTTTCATGAACGTTGTTCTGCCTTGGGAACAAAACAAGCAACATTTTAGAAGGGTAACCATTCAGTCCAGGCTTCAGTCAATCCCGGCCTCTAAGTTGTTAAATTGGCTTTCATATTTCGATAACCTCGAGTCCAAGGACAGTTGTTCTCGTTTAATGATATTACCTGCTCTGTGCCCATACCCCGACTTGGTACAAGCAATCAATGTTGACCTTGGCATGTTAAGGATTTAAATTTGATTTGTGAAGGTAACTACCGAATTAATGAAAGCAATACTCTTAAAAAAATGTTATCCGGAATGTAGCAATGATAACGACGATTAGAACATTTCATAATTTTCAAAATTTAATAATTACTTTTATGCACTTTATGCCATTAACATTTTATAATTGCTTTTGCCATCAATTACCTTAGATTAGTAGCTATACTTTTACACATCCAAGCCAAGTATAAAAGCTGATAAGCGTTAAAAGCCTTAAGCTGATCGTTTCGGTTTTGGAACACAGCAAATATTTGTGTGGAAATAAGCAAAATAACTATCGCAAACTTGATTAGAAATAATTAAATATGCATATAGAATTTAGAATGCATTTAAGTGTGAAAAAAGAACGTAAAAAGATAATATCTTTTATATTCTAAGTGTGCATTTTTATATTTAAAATTTCCATTAACACTTTAAGGCCCATTAACTAATCTATTTTAAAATATCTATGGCTAAATCATTAGTTAGAATTAGCTACAGAAATTTCTATGTAATTTTTGGTAGTTAGGTTTAACTAATGATTTAAATGTGACCTTTAAAGCGCAGATTATAATTAATATATATTTGCTTATAATTTTTTATACATTTGAACATACACCCGAAATGGTTCGGTGGTAGGAGACTTAAGTCGAATGAAAAAGGCAATCTTTATTTAGCCTAATTTTCGAAAAAACTCCACTTTACTAAATACAAAATGCCATTAGTTACACTTTGTTCTTCAAATTCCTCGATAAAACGATACAAAATCCGGGGTTGAATGCCTTTACGAATGAGCAAATATTTTATTGTTATGAACTGAACAAAAAGAAGACGAGGAGAAAAAAAATCCAATACATTAAAATTAAAATAGCAATTTAATGTGCGCAATAAATTCAAATTAAATATTTTTTACATAATTCTAGGTTAATATACATAAAATTATGAGAGAAAATAAAGTGAAATAAATATGTCAAAAAAATGAAAAGCTTACCCGCATGTGACTTTCAGCACCAATTGACGCTTGTTTAGAAAAAATCGCTGTCTATGGTAAAATGCACTTCCTTTTCATGTTGTTGTAGCATTTTACAAATTTATTTATTTCTTCAAATATTTTTGAGTTCATCTTCACTGTGCTATTATTAGATCAATTCGACGTGTTTTTTTTTATTTATGCCAATTCTTTCGCACACTTTTAATTAATTGCGGTTTTTATAGTTTGGTTTTACTGTGTTTATACGTTGCAACCATATGGCATCTAATTATAAGTATACGCCAATATATTCAAAAAATGAATTAATTTGCTCTTATCTCGCTTTTAAGTTTCGATTATAAAATAAAGCCTGCAACTGATGTGCAATAAATGGATAATGGGTGAGTAAATGACATTATTATGCATAATGCATATTTATTAGAGGTCTGCAAAGGAAGGCTGGTAGAGACATAGTAGTAACTATAGTAAAAAGTTAAGTTTCTGTGCGAGCAAGAAAAATCGAAAATTTTGAATTTTTTAGGAGAAAAAAATTGTTTCCCCAGATATTTTTCAATGCAAAATAATTTTAATCTTTTTAGGCATTTATAATAGTAAAGTTCAAATTCCTATTTATGAAAATTCCAGAACAAAATTCCAAAAAAGTCTCAAATAAAACGCTAAAAGTCCCAAAGAGTCATGGAAATATACCTACGAATCCTAAAAAAAATTTAAAGGTACCGAAGAGATCCGAAAACTTTAAGAAAACGATTCTGAAAATATTGTGAACGAGTTAAAAAAAGTTCCCGAAAAAAGGACGTCAAATAAAATACGAAAATCAACAAGCGTTCGGAAAAAGTACCAATACATTGAAGTATAGCAAATTCTTGGAAAAGAATTCTAGAAAAATCCTAACAGTTCCGAAAAATTTTCGAAAATTTCAAAACAAGAGCTCAAAAGCACAAAAAGACGCGGGAAAGTCCAAAGCTTCGAAAAAATAAATAATTATGAATCCCGAAAGTCCCCATATAATTCCGAAAGGCCCGAAAGCAATTCCGAGAAAAGTTTCCAAAAACCATCCCAAAAATATTTTAAAAAAAAATCCCAACAAATTTCCAAACAAAACTTAAAAATAATTCGAAAGTATCCGAAAAAGTTCCAAACAATCGGAAATAACTTAATTTTACTATCAAGGCCTAATTTTAAAAAGTAAACCGTATTTTATTTTATTTAATTTTTTTAATCTAACCGTAATGATGAATTTAATTTTTATTTCAGAAAAAAATCAAAAATCTTCAAGGCTTTTTGCTATTATTCCAAAAAGTTGTTGGTTTAAAAATCGATGAGCTAAAAACAGGGGCGGTTCTAAAATAAATCATGAGTAAAATAATTTAAATCAGCATTTAATCATTATTTTATGATTTTTATTTTTTCACTCAATGGAAATAATTATTATTTGGTTTTTATTTTTTATTTATTGTTTGATCACAAAATAACATTTTTTTGATTTTTATTTTTTTCGCTCAGAGATAATAATTAATGATTATTTACAAAATTTAAAAGACCATACATACGAAATCATCTGAAATTTTGAAATTATTGGATGATGATTATTCTTAAGAGAAAAAATAAAACTCCGTCCCTAACTAAAAGCGCACGTATACAATCCTTAAATAAGTTTGATTCGAAAACCGAAATCGAGTATCTCCGCACGATTTGCGGAGTTGTGGTGTTTTCTTTTTACATATTTTACATTCGTTTTGGGTACTGAAAATATATACATATGCCTTTGCTTCCAACAAAGCGTTT